TGTCACGCTCCCTTTCGATCTCAGGATACCGTTTGCGCGTTATATCGCGCGAAATGGGGTCGTGAACATGAAAAGGTTTGACATCGGATGCGTGTATCGTGACAAGAAGATTCTGGGCGCCCACCCCAAGGAACTTTACGAGTGTGTATTCGATATCGTCACAAGCTCGCCGGAAGACCTTGTGCCCGACGCCGAGGTTTTATTGGCGGTATTTGAGATAATAAACGAGTTTCCTTCGCTTGGTTCCCGTAATTATTACATCAGGATGAATCATGCACGTCTTTTGACGTGTTACCTGACTTCTATTGGTATATCGAATGAGCGACAGGCCGAATTGATAGCAATTCTGAAGGAAATTCGCAGCGAGAGGGACCGAGATGTTCAGATCAATTTGTTTGTTGAGAGCTTGCAGTTAAGCGATCACGCAGCGACGGCGCTTTGCGAGTTCCTTAACTTCGAAGGCCCTGCAAATAAATTACGCGAGCATCTGATTGGTACCATGAAGCGAAAATCTTCGGTTGGCCAGTCTGCGCGACAAATTCTACACGATCTGGAAGCGATTACGCAGCATGCTGAAACATTCAAGATTGATCTTCCCGTGAAAGTCAAGACATCTATGGTTTATAACTACCAGCATTTCTCAGGTTTGATTTTCCAGTTTGTAGCCGCAAACAAGCGGAAACGGAAGCGAGGGGGCGTTGATATTCTGGCCGCTGGAGGGCGATACGACGAGCTAATAAACCATTTCCGCCGGGGAGGAGAAGCTTCTCATCCCAACCCTGGAGCGGTGGGTGTCAGCATCGCGATTGAAAAAATTGTAGCCGCTGTTTTAGAAGAAGAAGACGTTAGTAGTCTGTGTCCTTATGATGTTATGGTTTGTTCAGTTGGGAGTAACCCAATGCAGACCAAGCGCATGGGTATTGCACACGATTTGTGGGAATGTGGCATCAAAGCAAATATCTGTTATGATTCAAAAGACATGGTATCTCTGGAAGAGCAACAGGAGTTTTGTAAACAAAGTGGAATTCAACATATGGTGGTGTTGAAAGAGCAGGA